TCATGGAACCTCATGGCTTGTCCAGTCATGGGGCCCGCGGCTTGAGTAGTTCGTGGGGTCGTATTAATAATTTCAAAATGTTAATGAATGATTTCTTAAGCAAAGAGATCTTGTGAACTGGTAATAGAGTCTATTGCTGTAAGCCTAGATAGGATGCGGAGAGTGCATCCTCGGGGGCAGAACCCGAAACTCGGTCCGGGTAGGCGAGGCACTTAGTTAGGTAAGTAATTTGTACTAATTACTTGCTGAAGCCTGTAAAACGGTTATTTACAGTTACATTTCCTTTGAGAAAAAGGATGTGAGGTTCCGGCTGTTCTGTCGGGACTGAATGTCTTATTTTATTTACTTATTCATTTATGTATTCCCTCGCACATTTATTATAACATTTATTTCAAATTATATCCTACTGGGCCTTTCACTCACGTTTTATATTTTAAATGTATTAAACCCCCCCCAGGAGACTCTAGGAGTGGTGCACAGTAGCTGGATATTTGCTACGGAGCAGCTGAGTTGTGCTGCTGTTGGAATCAAGCGAGGATTGTGGTCATCCTCTTGGACAAATGTAAGGAATTTAAGAAATTCTGTAAACTTATGTAATATTTGGATTAACTAGACTGTGGTTGATGTCTGTTGTAATGATTATTTACATGAGCATGTATGTACGATAATGTATGTCCTGTGGGGTGGAGCCCTGTGAGTCAGAGGCTCCTGGATTTTGTAGTAGTTTATTTATATTTTAATGCAGTTAAGTGTGGGGCTCAGTCTGGGAATCTGCTTTATTAATCCCTAATCGAGCTCACCCACCCTGTTTGGGGGGCGTGACATATATGAGTTTACAACCCATAATTTAATACATGCCTTAAAGAAAATAGGTAGGAAAAAGAAAGGAGCGTGCAAATCTTCACTTCTCAGAGTCAAATTCATCTCACCGGTAGTGGCTACCTATTAAATTAAGTTTGACTTTAATTGAAATTTGAATTTGAGTCAAACGTAGACTGCACGATAAAGAAAAATTTTATCTCCTTCTCTATCTACTATTTGTGCCAACCACAAGGGGGAATATCCCTGTGTAGGCCGTCCCCTATGGGTAAGAGAGAGATGGAATTTTGTTTTTAAAATCAATTAGAAGTGGGGGATAATTATCAAGCTATATCTAAGACTTCTTTTAGGAGTTTGACTACTACTTTATAAGTAGGAGATTGCAGAAAATTGAAAAACACAATTTTTGCTCTCCTTAGCATATAGCGGCCGGTTTTTATAAAGTAAGGAAAAGAAAAATTTTCTCCCCAATTCCACGCCATGTATGAGTTGGTGTTCGTAGAAAACTTGAGTGTTTGAGTGCTAATCTCGTTTTGCTTCAGGTGTGCCCACACACACGTCTTCATAGATTCAAGAAATTGACGAGGAAGATTCGGGTATTCTAAGCAAGCTTAAAGTAAGAAATGTTTACGGTCAAAAAATTCAAGTTATCAACCTAATCGTTCACTAGGCACATTTATTAATAAATTAATTTAATTTATTTATTTATTCATAAATTAATGTAATTTATAGAGTATCTCAAAAATTTATTATTTTTTGTTATACCCAATCTGCTAAATACAAGTTTATGTGTAAAAAATCATTTTCAAAACCAACAATAACATATTCTTTAGAACATGATAAATTATAGCATATTTTAATTTTTCATTACACAAATTATTGTTTTCCAAATATACCCATCCTATTAGGGCTTCATTTTGTCTCTCCCCCTTTTCATCAAACGCTTCTTCCTCTGCGTGTTCTCTCCCACCTGCAGATCCTTTCTCTGTCTCTCTCTCTCTTCAAGTACAAGTCGTCGCCGTTCTGAGATCTATCGTCGTCAGTTCTATCTCTCTTCTCTCGTCACCGTCATTGTCGACTCGCGGAGGTTGGAGATCCGAGCAGATCCGACCAGATTTCGTGAACAGGCCGTCACGACCTAGATGCTGGTCAGTGCAGAGTGCTCTCGCGCCGTAGTTGTCCTCACAAGGTTCGTCACCGGCAGTCTTCGGATCTAGCCGTCTCGAACCAAATCCGACCAGATTTCGCGGGCTTCCTTCTTATTCCGGCGGTCGAAAGCAAATCTTGGCCAGAGAAACGGTCCGCCGTCGAAGCTCCATCGTGATCCCTCTCTTGAAGGTGAGTACGAAGCTCCGTCGCAATCACGGCAACGATGGCGAACATTTGCAGAGAAGACATATTTACATTTGTTAATACTTTTTAAACTCAAATTTACGTATGAGTTTGTGCATGAGGTCCGAGAATTTGTAGAATTTTTGTGGAATTTTGTCTTGCATTTGTCTGTGTTTATGTTTGGAATATGGTAAAATTATCTATCTGTAAATATTTTAGTAGTGAGAAGATTTGATATGATAAATACTGTATATTCTTAAAAATATTCTATTAGTTATAAGTTTAAATATGATAAATATTGTATTTATAAGTAAACATTTTAGTAATTTTAATTTTGGACATGGTAATATTATATTTATTAGTAAATGCTTTAGTAGTAATAACTAATAAGTTTAGATATGATAAATATAATATTTATTTTTAAATATTTTAGTAATTACAATTTTGAATATAGTAAATATTGTATTTATTTGTAGTTATTTTAGTAGTTATAATTTAGAATATGTGATATTTATGGTACCGTTAGATCTTTAAATAAATATGATATTTATTAATAAATAAGACATTTATTGATAAATACAGTATTTATCGGTAAATACAGTGTTAAATGGTCGCCAGAGTTATTAACTGAAATTTTAGACAAATGTAATATTTATTAATAAATATTGTATTTATTAGTAAATACAATGTTAAATAGTTGTCGGATTTTCAGATAAATATGACATGATTTATCACTAAATACAGTATTTATCAGTAAATATCATTAAACAGTCATCGGAAAAAAGTCGTCGAAAAAACAGTCTCCAACTACTGAAAAACAGTTGAGGTCACCGGAGCTGACCATCAATTGTCAGTGTCAGCCATGCAGACTTGAGTATAAGGAGACGAAGAGAGAGATTAAAAGGAGGCTTAGGTATATTTTTAAGTTTTTAATAATGTTTCAAACTTAAAATATCAAATTATGTTATAATCACTCATTCTCTCTCTTTTTTTAAATTAAAATTTAATATTTAGTTGGCTTTTAATAGCATGCCACGTTGACACTTTTGTTAAATCTATAGACGGATTTGGATGGAAGGATAGTTTGATCTATTTTCTATAAATTAAGAGGTGTTTTGAATTATTTTAAAAAATGAAGTTATACTTTAAAACAAGGTATATAATTTAGAAGACATTTATAAAAATAATCGTTATTTATTTCTTTATTTTACAATAAAAATAGTTTAGAAGATATTTATAAAAATAATCCTTATTTATTTTTTTATTTTATAATAAAAATGCTAATCGGATAAATAGGATACTGCGACTACGCGGAATTCATAACGAGAAAACCCACCACCCCATACCCCGCTAACTTATTCGAGTTAACGAGGCAGGCGGAAACGGTGAGTGTTTCTGTTCACGTGCTGGGTCACCGTCGTTTTAAAAGAAGCAATAGAAACCCGTCGTTTTGAAAGAAGCAATAGGCGCTTTTGGTGAGAGCATTGTTGACTCTTAGGTTGGGAAAACGACAGTGTGTTTCACGTAAAATGTTCTACAAGAGAATCAAAAAGTTCTCTCTCAGCTTTAACTAATCTCATGTCGTATTTTTATATTATTCCCAAAAAATACTCAGGCTTTCTAACATAATATTTAATTTAGAACCTGCGAGTACTTTTTGGAGGAAAACATGGGTACTTTTAATTTTCTTTTTTCATGAGAATATAATGACATGAGATTAGCTAAAATTGAAGGTGTACTTTTTTTGGATTTTCTCGATTACTAGCGAAATCATATATCATATTATTCTCATTAAGAAAAGATATATATGTACACACACGTACATATACATACATGTGCATGTACTTGTACGAAAATTGAAAATTGAGACATTATTTATTTTGCATTTAGCAAAAAACAAGTACCGTCATTTTCTTTCCTTACAAAACAAATATAGTGCTCACAAGAAGCTTAACAATTAACATTTTTAAGAAGAAGACCCAAGAAGTTTAACCAATAAGTCATCATGGATATCGAACATCCATTAGCAGCTCAGCTTGCCCTTTATTGGGAGAATTGAAAAAAAAAAAAAAAAAAAAAAAAAAAAAAAAACCGCCATGGAGAACACTGGAAATTTCTTCCAAAGTTAAACCCAAACAAGCATGGACACTAATAAGTGATTTTTCTACTGAAAATCCGTCTCTATGTATATATGGATCAGTGTTACTTGAGAAAACATTTTATTGCAGTTACTCTGGAAATGAGCATAAAAACTGCTTCAGATGCGACCTGACATTGTCGCTCAAAATTTGTAAACCATTTCCTCTGTATATCCAAGTTCTTTGAGTATGCCTCTGAGCTGAAAGAGAGAGAGAGAGAGAGCAATAACCAATGAACTCATGAAAGTGTATAAAACGCATTATCTTTACGTAGTCGGAAAAACCAATGTAAAATCAAATGAACCCGGGAAGGTGTAAAACCCACAACTTTTGGGTATTTGGAAAAAACCAATGAAAAATAAGAAGAAATATGCCAACCATACCTCTCCTTGTGTCCAGTCTTTAGCTTTTTCACCTGAAATATGTTTCATCATCCCAGGAGGGCCACAAACCTGAACGGGAAGGATAAGGTCATACGAAGGTTTTCTTAATGAGCTTTCAGAATTGAAACCTAGATCTAGTCGCCGCTCTAATACTAAGAACCTGTTGGAATCCAACAGGGAGGGGATTCAAACAGGAACGAGTCCAACTAGCAACCGCATGCTTTGGTGACATTCCGATTTCATAAACATAATGGGGTACTAGAATTACCACATTGAGAGCTAAGTCATATTACTTGTAGAGTGGTCTGTAGCTTTAGATAATGCTTTCAGTACAAGGTGTCTTGACCATATTTTACTCCTAGCTAGATCACACAATCTAAATTTTTTAATACTGGAACACAATTTACGGGCTATTGTTGAAGCCTTGAAGCCATGGCAATGCTAAGTCATGGCAAGTCCATCCTAACAAGCAAGGATGCCACAACAATTCAATAATTTTAATCAGGTTGCTTACTGAAGGGAGGAAAAAGATGAGAAAAAGAAAACCTTTAACTCAGAATGCAAATAAAATATGACAAACAAATAAAAAAAAAGTGACTTTTTCAAAGTAACACTTACAAGGATGAGGGTATCTTCACCAGGACCAGGTAAGCCTTTTAAAACTATCTCCTTTGATATGTAACCTTTGCCTCCTTTCCAATTCTTTGTAGGATTATCTACTGTATAGTATACCTGGGATTTTTTTTTTCCACCAAATAAAGAAAGCCAAAATTTTTGTGAGTTAGAGATCTGGTTTGGACAAATTCAATGAGAACCCGTCTGTAGTGGTAAAAATGGTACCTTAAGATTTGGGTGGCTAGCTGCTAGAAAGTCAAGTTTCTGTTTAAGCAGTATGTCATCTGGGGAAACATTACCGTACAATAGAGAGACCTGGGAGGATTAAAGACTACCATGAAGCTAGACTTCGTCCATTAACAAATAATAATAGCACGTTATCCAAGTAAGAGTATCTCCAATGCAATGCTAAAATTAATGTGTCAATTGCAAATTTAACATTTGAATGCAAAAAGCACTCTCCAATGTAATGCTATTTATTATGCCAAATTTCCAATATGCTATACTTTATTGCAAATTTTCCACCAAGTATGGCATATGGGAAATTTAACATTTAATTACTATTAGTTGAGATGTTTACTTTTTCCATGTAATCAATGCAACTTTTGCATTTTCTAATTATTTTAAAAATAAAAGTTTACTTTTCCAACTTTCAAAACTTAATAATTATAAAAAAAAATAGATTTAGCATTTCAAATATCATTATGCATTGGAGCAAAATGAGAATAACATACCATATCATCGTTTTTAGTGCTAAATATACAATTGGCATTAGCATTTGCATGCGAGATGGTCTAAAACACATACATTAATATATATCCAAGCACTAGACTTCCTGAAATGTTCATTTATCCTTGAACCTTGATGTAGCAAAGTCTTTGAGATTCAGACCATTTGGGGCGCGTTTGAAACTTGTTCTAAAATGATTTTGTTTTTTGTATGAAAATGAAAATGAAAACGCATTCAATCTCAGACAGAAATCATTTTTGAAAATGCGTTTGGTAGTTTTATCAAGAGATTGTTTTCAGTGTAAAAAAACTCATAAATGTCTCTCTTTCTCTCTCTCTGCTCGAGGGAGGAGAAAACAAAAACAAAAAAAAAAAAAACGACTAAAAGTCGTTTTTCATTTCTCTCTCATTTTACACTAAACTAAAAAATCGTTTTCATTTTCGCTTTTTGTCTTTATTGCGCCAAACACCGTTTTGAAAACGTTTTCATTTTTTCTTTCTCGAAAAACGTGAAAAACAAAAGCGGGATCAATTCTAAACACGGCTTTGATCTCGTAACCATTTGAAAATATTTACATGGGAAAGCAAGATTAATGTTCTCAAAAGAACAATGAGATAGCATATTGCTCACCTGTGTGTTATCATCGGGATTTTTCAGTATAGCCTCAATAACCTGAAGCATTGGAGTAATTCCTGTGCCACCTGCAATCTGGACAAAAGAGTGCAATTTCTTTTTAGAGAAGGGCTAACCACATAAATTAAACATCGATTATGTCACATAGCATGCACTCAAAAGCTATACAAGCAAATGTGTTAGAAATAATAATAATAATATATATATATATATATATATATACTTTGTATGTTCTATAATTCTATTTATACTGCAACCGCTGTCTATGAGTTTCTAGATAACGCATCGATACCATGCCTATGTGTTTCTTCATATTGGGAGAGTATCTAAGCTTTTCAATGGGCCTGCAATAAAACACACAAACTTCATTCTAAAGATGATATAAAATGTATACCATGCAAATAGTTGTGGATCAAAATAATCTACCCTTTCACTTCCACCACATCGCCTGGCTTTAGGCTTGCAAAATGCTGACTCATTTTTCCTTCTGGATACACCTGCAGTGCATTGAAGAATATATATGCACAAGTTGAAGCAGTACATCAATTGAAAGTAACGTCAACTACAGAAATAGAAGTAACTACCATCAACCAATGCAGACTTATTTGTTTCTATATTTTTTTGGTAATTAAGCATACCTTAATTAATAAATCAAAAAAACCCTTCGAATCTGGATCTGATATTGGAGTGTACCTGAAAATTCCAAAATTTTGTACATAAGGGCAAAAGAATAACTGAAGAGCAGGCGAGAACTTCTACTTAATCAAGTCCTTACCTAGCTTTATACAACTTAAGAACCAAGAACTCCAATTTTTTTTTTTTTTTTTTTTTTTTTTTTTTTTTTGTTTTCAAGTGATCGAGGAATGAACACACTGACTAAAAGACGCATTTGATGATGATCACTGAGCATAGTGACTAAAAGGATGCACAAAATAAGGTGCAAATGCAGATAACGGATGAAAGCATTTAAGCGTGATGATTTCAAAGCTAAGCAATAGAGAGTAGAATTGGTAAAGTACTTAATAATCAAGCTTATTAGATTTGAATAGGAAGACTTACGGGCGTACAACATATTTTGGTTTCCCCTCAACATCGTGTCCAAGTGGAGCCCTGTAATTATAAGAACAATCGTTTGAACAAAAGAAAAAGGCAGCGGTAGTAGCAGATTCCTTGTGAATAGGAATTTCGAGATAAATTTTACAATTTTATTTAACAGCAGAGCAGAGTACCTTGTAAGGATGCAGGAAGCAATATCCAAGCCCAATTTCGCAGTGGGGTCAAATGAAAATCTGGTATTTTGTGTAGAAACCAAACAAATTAGTTAAAAGAGAAACTTATCACACATTTACAACGAAATTCAGAAACCATGTAGTATCAATACAAAAAAGTCACTACTAGCTTGAAATCCGGCTTTGATATGACCCAATGGGCATGATGATCATATACACACACGTAGATTAACCTGTAACTTTTAATTCAGAAGGCTTGGTGTACCTGAATAATTGAGTATTGTGGCTAACCCTCGCAGTGTCTTGCAACTTAAATTCAATCCACTTATCCGGATTCAACGCTGAAAACACATGACACATATCCATATAAGACGGAATCGTAGAAATCTTATAGAAAGAGCTTCAAATATTTCAGCTTAAAAAGCAACCAATGAAGAATGCAAAACCAAAACCTTTTTCAGAGAACTTGCAAAAACATTATCAACATCCCCGTTTTCCAAATAGAGGGACTCACCAACTTTTGGGCCTGATTCTTCATTGATTTGATCTAAATGTGCCTGTAAAATACAAAACAAAGCAATGTATATTAACAAGAAAGCTATTTTTCCTAAAAGGCACGTTAAATACAAATATATTTTGTGCATCCTATTCATTCTTTTAGAAAGATTTTTCCATACAAAGCAACAAAAATGCCATCAAGCACAATTATATCCATTTCTGCACACGAAAAGAAAAACAAAATGACCATTTCAAAAAACTAAAGGCATGGTTCTAGTGCAAAATTTTCAAGAAATCCACACCCGTTAGCAAGCTTTGCTGAAGTTTCTTGATAAATCAAACCAAAATACACAAAGGAATACAAAAAGAGAAAAAATCATAATGATCATGAACAAACCTAATCTTCACCAACTGATCAACCTATAAACCACGAGCACGATCGTAATCAAACATGGTTTACAAAGTACACCACATTGCAATGAGAAAAAAATAAGAAGAAAACCTACAAGAGATAACGAAAAACCTTACCAAGTACAATTTACCTCATTACCGCACTAGAAAATAAAACCAATTCAATCATTTTAAAATATTAAAGTATGGTTCTAATATGAAATTTTCGAGAAATCCACACTAGTGTTAGCCATCATTCATAACCAAAAGTTTTGCAGAGTTTCTAGATAAATTAAACCAAAATCCAACAAAAAAAAAAAAGGAAACAAATCAAAACCAACATGAATAAACCTAAGTAAACCATGAAAAATATCTTAATCAAACATCGTTTCAGCTAAAAGTAACCCACATTTCAATGAGAACAAATAAGAAGAAAACCTATATCATATAACGAAAAACCTTATCAAGTCAAATTTACTTCATGTTTACACGGGAAATGAAAAGCAATTCAATCATTTCCGAAAAATAAAGCATCGTTCTAATGCGAAATCTTCAAGAAATCCACACAAGCGTTATCGATCGTCCACAAACAAAAACGAACTTCCCAGAAGTTTCTAGAAAAATAAACCAAAATAATAATAATAATAATTAAAAAAAACACTATCTTGACCGATCGATCAACCAAAGCATAACGAATTACAGCACATTAAGATTACCAATTGCGGCGAGGAGTAGAAGTAGAAGTAGGAGAATCCACCGGAAATTGCGGCGAGAGCTCCGAAGGGGATTCCATGGCGGGACTTGCGTTGGGCTCCGAAGGCATTGGAGAAGGCCAATGGAGCGGATTTGGCGAGCCTGTGAAAGAAGCTTGCCATTTTCAGCGAACGAGAAGAAGAAGCAAAGAAGAAATGCTAAATCCAAACCAAAATCAAAATGGGTTATTCCAAGAAGAAGAAGCAGAGTAAACAGAGAGGTTCTCTTCTTTCTTCCACTTTTCAGGGAAAAAGGAATTGTGCGATGAGTTCTTATGTGCATTGTTTTTATTGGGCGATTGCTCCTGCAAGAATGCGATCAGATGTACACGATCTCTTTGTTGGACTGGACTGGACTGAGCTGAGTCTCGTATGGGCTCATTATGAAGGCCCAATTCTATCACCCTATCACTTATCAAGTCTAGTTAATCGCAGTCTCGTCGGCGTGACTTTTTTATCGGCAGATTGAAAAACACGGTTTCCATAGAAATACGGTTTTTTGAATCCGCAAATCCTTTTAATTGGTATAATCTAATCTAATATAATCCTACAGATTGAATTAGATTAAAAAAATATTAGATTGTAAGAGATTGAGATTTAGATTGCAGAGTGAGCATTTGTTAATTCGTATAATTTATCTATCCGAATTATATATATTTTATATATTTTTATCTATTTTATTAATATATATAAGAGATTTTTTTAATGTTATATGTATATATTTAACTACATATGTATTATGTATTGGAATAGAGAAAAGACCAAATGTTATACAACAGATTTAAATATAAGGCCCAAGCCTAACTCATTTTAAATTTTTAGTTGTAATTACTTATTAAAGTTTGTTTGTTACGATGGGTTTGATTTCTACTTTTTAAGTTATTGTCAAAGACTTGAGTTTTATGTCAAAGACTTCAATTTTATGTTAAATTTTGTGTTGAAATTAATAATAGAACTATTTAAATTATATGTTATTATGTTTATGTTTAATTTTGTATTTAATTGTATGAAAATATCGAAAACATAAGTCAATTTGTGAATCCGCAAATTTCGGATTGGATTGGATTGAATTGGTAACGGATTGAGATATTTTCAATTCGCATAAACCGATTGAATTGCGGATTGACTCCTAATCCGCGTAATCCGATTCGTGAACACCTAGAAAGTCCATTTCACCATATATATATATATATATATATATAGATGTTGTTTTAGAGTCCACTTGGTTCACGCATTCAAATCAGTAATTCTGATTCATTGGCTAAAAATTTTTGAGAGAATAAAATTTTGAATTTAAATTCTTTGTAAGATGAAAAATACTATAGCAGAATTAGAATAATAGATTCAAGTAAGGAATTAAATGAGACCTTAATAATTACTCTAATATTTATCCATCAGTAGTGCTGAAACTTTGGACGAGCCTCCCCTGTGACCACCGAAAAGTCTGAATTTTTGCTCGATTACCGAACCCGAACTGAACGAAAATTCAGGTTATCCGACCCGACCTGAATTGTACCTTGAACGGGCTTCGGGTAGGAGGTGGTTGCCCGTGCCCGGTCGGGCTGCCCGATGCCCGACCGGCTGCCCAAATTTTTATACTTTTTTTATATTATATTTTTATATTGTATTTGTATAATTATAATGTGTATATATATATATATATTATATATATATATTATATATATATATATTGCAATTTGAAATTTGAAATAAACACATGAACTATATAAAAAAATTATTTCTTCATTGATTTTTAAATTTGTAATTCATGATTGCCTCGTTAAAAACTTTACCAAGAAAAACCCAATTGGGATAAAAACTTGGTAAGGAAAAAAGAGTGCAATTATTGTGGGATAAATTACAAATTTAACAAACTTATAAAGTTTATACAAGATTACAATAACACTATACAAATTAGAAATTACAAAGTAAATAAATATTTACAAATTACAATAATAAAATTTAATTTGAAGTAGAAGGATCGTATTGAAAATGAAAAGTTAATCTATTGAACTCGTCGATCCATTCTTGGCTTGCCGGTGAGATTGTATCGTGTAACTGTTGGTCAGAACGATCTCAATCCTTGATGCACACCAAAGCTTCAATAATATCCTATTGCAATGCGTTTCTCCGTTCTTCAAGTATTCGGCCGGTTGTACTGAATGCTTGTTCGGCTGCAATAGTAGAGACCGAGATTGAAAAAATATCCATTGCTGGTCGTGTTAGGATCGGCCAAGTTAATGCTCAAACATTTCACTACTGTGTACTACTAAGCCCTCACTCAAGTACGCCATTAACTCATTGAATCCGCCGCTATTGCCGCCACCTCTTAACGAAGATCCACTCCCAGATTCTTCTTGACCTTGAGTCATCGTCTGCTTCTTCTTCTTAGACAACCCGAAAACATTCAAGAATTAATGCGGATTGTCGTCTCGTTGTTGCAGTTGTTCAACACGAGGTGTGTTTCTAAACCTACTTCCGTAAGAGATATAGAGAGAAAATATTTTTTTCTTTATAATAGGAAATTGGTCAGTAGTGTCGATAGCTAAAAATTCACCTAAGTTATCTAATCCACTTTCTAAACCTTTTAATTTTAATCTAGGGTCAAAAATAACACCGAAACCATACAACATGGGTAATTTAGACCAATATTTCTTAAACTTCTTTTCCATAGAGGCGATAGGAACTCTTAAAACCTTGTGTGTCCTAAATTCACTAAATAAAATAGACATTGTTAAAAGTTCTCCTAACGCTAATGGTGACGTTGGGTAATAAGTTTCACTAAGCTTTAAGGTAACTTCGTGAAATCTACCTAAAAAGTTACACAAGAGTTCGGCAACTTGCCAATCAGTTTCATCTATAAATCCTGATCCTAATTTTGCACTAACATAATTTGTTATAGCATCTTTACAGGGAATGCATTGTTCAAGCATTATATAAGTGGAGTTACATCTTATGGGCATATCTAAGGATAATGCTCTAGGATTTTGATTACATGTTTGTAGAAATCTAAACCAATCTTGTATTCTTTGATTACTACCTTGAACCCAAGCAATGTTATCTCTAATTCTTTTAATATGACCTGACATTGATTTTAAACTGGATTTTACTATTAAATTAATTATATGACATGCACAACGTTGGTGAAATATATTATTATTACTGAATAAACTTAAATCATTTTCAAAAAGTTCTATTGTTTTAGTATTTGCAGTTGCATTATCTAATGTTATGGTCATTATTTTATCTCTTAAACTATATTCATCAATAACAGATAAAATTGTATTATATATTAAATTGATAGTATGTGATCCTATAACACATTTGAAACCTAAGATTCTCTTATCCATATCACAACCTTTATAATAATGTCTGGTTACAGCTAAATAATCCTTATTGGCAACGGCAGACCAAATATCCGCCGTTAACGCAACGCAACCACTAGTAGAGTGTAGAAGGTTGATTAATGCTTCATTTTCTTATTTCTATAATTTTAATGCATCTTTCCTAAGAGTAGTTCTAGCAAAAAATTATGCATTAGGGTTATGTACGAGTTTAATATAACGCTGCCAATTTCTTTGTTCATTAAAACTTAGTGGTTGATCTAATGTGGCTATTAATCGTGTCATTTCTATACGATCAACTTGCGGATCATATTTCTATGTATTTAATGTTACCGTTATTGTCAACCTCCTCGAATGTGTTGAAGTGCTCCCAAACTGCTGAGGTGCGCTTGTATTTCTTCTTAGAACTTGCAACACTTGCACTAGCACTATCGCTTGTCTCTCCTCCACGCCCACCAGTGCCACCACCATTACGTCCCCGACCTCTAGTACGTCCACCAGGGGTCGAATTTGCAGTTTCCTCAGCAACTCTTTGCGTAGTTTGCGATTCCTATGTTTGAAAAACATTAAGAAATTGCCCTTCTTCGATGTTGAATTGGGCATCAATGGGAATATCACCACCATAACCAGAAGAAGCCATTATGAAAAATAAGGGAGATTGAGAGTGCTTTGAGAGAGATTAAGAGAGATCGAGAGAGATTTAAGCGAGATTAAGAGAGATTTGAGAGAGATTAAGAGAAATTGAGAGAGAATGAGAGTTTTTGGGTGAGAAAAATGGTTGGGGGGAGGGTTGGTATTTATAGGAAAATTTTTAGCTTGAAAAAAAAAAAATTTCCCAAAAATTTGGGTCCAACAGCTAGTAAAATTTTTGGGCACTTGGGTCGGGTCGGGCAGGTTGGGCAACGGTAAAAATATAGCCGTTGTGGTTCAAATTTTTGGGCAAAAATCAGGCGGCGGTCGGGTTCGGGCAAAAAGATCCGTTGGGTTCAGATTTCAGGCTAACGGTAAAAAAAAATTTGGGCATTTTCGGGCAACGGGCAAAGTTTAGGCTAACGGTAAAAAAAATTAGGGCGAATTCGGGTTACGCCGGAAAATTCAAAAAAAAATCCGGTGGACGGCGGGGGACGACTTCTCACGGCGGCGGGCAGCTAGGGAATGAATTTTTTCGGGCTACCCAAGCCCGTGCCCGACAAAATACCTCGGACAGGCAGCAAATGGCACCTGCCCGCCGTGTCTGAAAATTTTCGGGCACTAGGCATGCCCGCCGCCCAAACTTGCACCACTATCCATCAGTGAGTATTATTATTTTAACCGTAATATTTATATTTTTAGGTACCATTTCACCATTTGTTCTTCATATCACTAGTGGATTAGGAGGTGATTTAAAAGTGTAATATTTTTGTTCTTTGCTCCCTTAAAATGATTTTTCAAATGCTCTTACAAAATGGTATATTTGAACTTTTCTTTTTGAAAGTGATATATTTAAATTCAACCGTTTAAAATTGTTTTTTTTTTAGAAAGGAGATAAATACTCCTATAGTGTATAGTCTAAATTTTTATTTTTTATTTTTAATTTAATATTCATTTTTATTAATTAATTAAAAGAGTATTTATAAAAAAAATAAAAATCTAGACATATACACTTATAGATAGAGCGTAAGTTCGACAATTTTCTCACTCTCTTTAATCCTAACTCAAACTGTCTTGTATTATCTTTTCATATTGGGCTTGGACTATAGCAATTAGCCCATGGGTCTTACCGTGTTCTACTAGCCCAACATCCTTATGAGATAAGGATAATTGCATTACTGACAAAATTTGATAGCTAGAGTTGAAATTTAACAAAATTTTCTGAA